GTAACTTTCACCAGTGGTCCGCTGCCAGATAGGTAAATGGATGGAAAAAATGAGAATGAGTGAAAGGACGCGAATCTGCGGTAGAAGGCGCGAATGGCTATTTGAAGAGTTATACCTTGAGCGACACTGAGTTTTTGTTCAATCTTCTTGTCGGATTTGTGAAGTTGATCCAATAGGGCAGGTGAGATTGTCAAGAAGTCACACCCAACGAGTTCCTCGATTTCGCCAATCTAAGTTGAGTATACATTCAATCAGTATTGGAGCTTCGCAAGGCAGTTTTACCTGCGAGAAATCGTATGTTACTGACGTTACGGAAGGAAGCTCCCATGACAATGGTCTTGTAACCCTCTTGTTTGTAGTATCGATAAATCTTTTGCACCGATTGAACACCCGGATCAGCAGCACCATCGAAACAAGCATCCGGCTTCTTGGCCTTGTACCCTACATGCGAACAAAGAATGTGAGTTTCAAAAGAACATACTCATTAATTACAAAATTTAACGGTGACCCACAGTCCAAGATTCGGCCCACAAAAGGGGAAATGAGGGTGACCCCAGCTTCAGCACAGGCAACTGCCTGGCCGAAACCGAAGAGGAGGGTCAAGTTACAGTGGATGTTGTGATCCTTTTCAAGCTCTCTAGCAGCCTGAATACCTTCCCATGACGAGGCGATCTTGATCAAGACACGATCCTTGTCAATACCAACTGACTTGTAAAGCTCGATTAAGTGTAGTGCCTTGCGCTTGGTAGCTTCCTTATCGAACGAGAATCGGGCATCGACTTCGGTCGACACTCGCCCAGGAATCAAAGCAAGGATTTCTTTTCCAAATTCGACTAACAGTCTGTCAACTGTAGCATCTACTTGGTTGTCCAAGGACCTGTGAGAAAGATGATATGCAAGGATTCAGTTCTGGAAAGTAAAAATGTCAGTTGTTGATGGAAAAGCTGAGGGTAGTAACTCACCCTCCCTGTGATTTTCCATATTGGACGGCAACATCAATCAACTTCGCGTAAGCTGGTTTTTTGACAGCGGCAAGAATCAACGAAGGGTTGGTAGTAGCATCCTGAATTATGTGATGATCGAAATAATTGGTCAGAGTAGATTCACGAAGGCAATCCTTGGGAGAATGAAATTAAATGTGACATACCTGGGGCTTGTACTGGGCAATACCTGCAACAGAAATGAATTGAAAGATGGACTGTGGTTAGGAAAGGTGGGTAACGCAGTGTTAACCAAGTTGGTACTGACTTTCGAAGTCACCGGTGTCACAGACAACGGTGGTGTATTGTTTAAGGTGGTCAAGAGAGGTGGTCCTATGGGCGGGTGAGGTGGGAAAATAAAAGTCAGCAGACAATCAAGTTAAGGAAGGGTAGTAACGAGCATGACACAAAACCCCTTGATTCGAAAGGGATGAGTTGATAGGAGCAGGTCCAAGAGAAAGGTGGACTAACATCTTTGAGGGTATGATGGACTCTGCGATTTCCAACGATGTATACGAGGATGATGGTGTGAGTTTTGGTTACTAGTTTGGGATGGAACAGGAAGAGGCTTTAATCGGAGATGGTGGAGCAGACCGGCAAGTTATGAAGGTTGTGGCCAATCGATCAGGATGGGGTAAATACAGGAACAGCAGTGGATGACGACAGCGATTATGTAAGCGGATTTCACAGCTTAGTGGTAACACAGGCGGTAACTTGGTAAGACCACTGCAGCACAGTTTGTGCAATTCTGCGTTGAGTTGTGTAAATTACAACATTGCTTTTCATGCACATGTGACAAACCTTGCAAGTCAACCTACTCCATAACTGTTGTAGCTCTGGATGCACAATGTAAAATCATCCAATCATCAAAACTCAACCATGAGTTGATCTGGTTAAGATCTTCAAAATTAAGAATCACAGAAATTTCATTCAAAACACAGCTTCTGAAAACAAAACTGGAGGACTTCCCGTGGGTTTTACAGGCCTTGTAAAGCTAGATTTACAGGCTGTAAAGCTAATTTTTCGCTGGGAAAACGGTTTCACGAGCTTGTAAAAATAGCTTTACAGGGGGCTGTAAATTTGACGGGAAGTCCTCCACTTGCAAAGGTCCCCCCCTACAAGAAAATTCCATTCTCATGCAGCAAAAAGGTACCTTGAATGTAGATTTACTGTATCTTTCATTTACAGTAGCAGCATTTAATCTTCCAGAAATCAGCAAAACACTTCTGGAAGTTAATTAGGGGGTTTCACATAGAGATCGTTCGTTCGTACTCGGGTACCTGTTGGTACCTAGGTACCTGTTGATTTTTTTCAGAAAATAGGTACCAAGTACCGCACCAGGCACCTCCCGGCGGGTACCGGCGGTACTTTTGGCAGGTACCGCGGGTACCTCCCCTCTCTTCCTCACTTAGTTTGACTGCAAGGTTCATTACAATCCTTTTGCATCTTGTTTGAGTTTTTTTGGGGGGGATTTATTGTGACTATCATTTTATTTTAAAAACATAAAAAATATAAAGTCAAAAACAATTGAATAGAATTTTAAAAAAAACTGTTTGTAATTGCTGAAAAAAAAAAAAAAGAAAGAAAAGAAAAGAAAAGAGAAAAGAGAAAAAAAAGGAAAAAGAAAAGAGAACAAAAAATAAAAGAACAGAAAAAAAAGAGATAAAAAAATAAAAAGAAAAAAGAAAAAAAAGTAAGAAAAAAAAAAGAAAAAAAATGGCCTTGAGGCTGGGGGGAACCCCAGCGTCCCGGCCAGGTTGACCGGAAGGGTTTCCTTCCGGTTGATGAGGTAGATGTACCTCATCAATCGGAAGGGGTTCCTTCCGGTCGATGAGGTACATGTACCTCGTTGACCGGAAGGAAACCCTTCCGGTCAAGACACTTGGGGGCGGTACCCGGAGCGGTACCCGGGTACCTCCCCTTTTTTTGCCAAAAAACCGGCACCCGGCACCGCACCCGGCACCGCCTGGCGGGTGCGAGGCGGGTGCGGGCGGTACCCGCCGAGCGGTACTAGGTACCTAGCAACGGGTACCGACGAACAATCTCTAGTTTCACAGTTGAGTGCAAGTGACTTGCAAAACATTTTTCCAGTCACTCTCATGCATGGAGATTTTCAAAAATGTCTTTCTACTAGCCACATCTAACCTTCTGATGAGTAATGGGAGCTGAACATGCATGCTTTGTTGTGCAGATTGACTCACAAACCCTTTTGCAAGGCATTTGCACTCAACTCTGAATCCCACAATTATAGTCACTAAGAATATGCATTAGCACTCTTTTAATTAACAACAATAGATGAGAGTTTGGTTTTTTTTCTTTCCCTTCTCAACTCTTGAAGGTACAATAATCATTCATCCCTTTCTTTCCTCTTTTACCCATTCCAAGTGTGGAGTGCCCCATTGACAAGACAGGTGTGATTAAAAAAAAAACTCCCTACAAGCTGTATGAATATTTTTCACACTACTTTGATCTGGATAAGTCCACTTTCATGGATTCAAGATTATTTTTGGGTGGGAAACCGAACAGAAAAACAAGGGAGGACTCTTTTCGAAGTGAGTGAATGGATCACAAACCCTGATCATCAAGACAAATTCAACTGCGCCAAACAGCTAGAGTAGAATGGCATTCCCATTTATTGAAACAAGCAAAAAGTTCTTATGATCAGACAAGGTGTGAAAGAGGTGTGAAAGAAATCCCAAGGTTAGCAAATTCAAGCATGAAGTTGTAGCTAACAGAGATTATTTCCACTTGATCTCATTGCGTATAATACATCAGGTAAATTGTGGACCGGAATGATGGATAGGAACTCCTGCTTTCATGCAAGCCTTGACTGTTCGAACCCCTTTTTTCCTCCTTGTCGAGACCGCTGAAAAGTTCAAGAAATCAGTCCTAGAAATTCATGACAACTCAACCTGGCAAAGATCAACGAATTTTTTTGCTGTCCTACCTGGTGAACCACAGTCACATACCGGTAAATTGAACAGACAATCTGCGTTTATGTCCGTTGGAAGTGTGCTTGCAAATGTTGATGAATACATTAGTTGGTTGAAGAGTTATTTGTGCAAACAAATCCAGCTAATCAATTAAGCTTACCTATTAGTGTATGGGTCATGCTCGTAACCTCCGTATTTTGTTTGACATTTCCATGCGGAAGTTGTTAAGAACTCTACAGTAAAGCCATACTTCGATTCAATCAGCGAGGCGCCATAAACTTTCCTATGCGTCTTAGTCCCCTTGGCTTTCACTATATTCATCATTCTAAAGAGTTCCTATGATCTATCAGTGCTTTTCAATCTCGCTGATAGCTGAGCTTAGCGCGTCTTACACTTTATCGGGGCCACAGTAGGACAACACTCCTTTGCCTTCAAATTCCCCGTTCGGCCCTGATTGCGTACATGGATCCTTTAAAGCAATCGGATAAGTCTATTGCGGTTAGGCGAGGTCTTGGATCGCGTGAGATCAAATGCTTACGCTATTTCGAATGATGAAAACACTCTAACATCATTTTTTTCAGGTCAGAAACGTTATAGTGCAAATAATAATATCAGTTGAGCCCCTCCAAATAAGTGATCGTTCTGATCATTAGAAATAAGACAATATCCGCAACAATTGACACACCTGAGCTTTCAAAATGGCTGCCAGAAGCCTTAATTTAATGACTGCCTCAAAAGAAGCTTGAAGCTTGTATTGAGTTTTTTCGATGGTTTTTTGAAGGAACGCGCCATTTTTAAGAACTCCGTACATCCCTTCCTCTGTGCTAATACCAGCCTGAAGGACCCCCTTGGTATAGTTACTCAGCTTTTCTTGAGATTTATCTTCAAGTTTTGATAGCATCCAGGCGAACTCTATCCACTAAGAACCAACACGTATTTTGTCTTCAATAAACGGAATTCTTACTTCAAGAAGGACAAAGACTGCCGCAAACCCTTGTGTACCCACTCCTCACATCTGGTGGAGCTCTGATTACGTTTTGCCAGAACCACAATTCTGATGCAGTGGTATAAAGTAACCCTTGTAGGAATACCCAAATCCAAACCCACATCCCGGGAAAAACCATCCCTGGAAGGGCTCCTGAGAATGAGGCGACAAGCGCCAACCATCTAGATTGAATTGAACGTTCCCAAAAGTCAGATTGTTTCTTTGTCCCCGTGAAATGAAATTTCTAGATAATGAGCCTCACGTAGCAGACGCGACTGGTGTTGGACTGCTAGGGGGTGATAAATCGTTTATCTATTTTTGGGAGAGTGTGCAGAATTCAGCCTATGATTTGGGAGGTCAAGCCAAGAATTGTCACGAGAGCTAACCATCGTTGGCGCGATATCTAAGTGTCAGAAAATATGAGAATAGATAATCATTAGCATCTCCTAGTGGACAAGCTCGGCAGAGTGATATTTCTTGGGGAGGTAGGTAAATGCTAACCGACCTTGCATTGCACCAATTCTAAGAGGAGCGCAATGTGGAGGAACGGGATATCAGCTTCAGTTGTCGGTTCTTACAATGGTCTTGGAAACTTACCCGAATGAGAGGGATGTGTACAGCATATTCATGACTTTATTCCAATTTTGGGTAGCTACAAGAATGTACCAATCGGGGGCCATCGCGCTGCTACAAAGCTTCAGTTTCCCATCGAATTGGCAGTGAGTTCCATGTAGCTTCAGTGATACTCCGTGAGGTATGACTCACTTGACCTGCATCACAAGTCTGCCCAATCCCACATATGAAATTGGTGACATTGACTTCATCCGCATATGCCTGGAAGTAAAGATCAGTCAGCTGAGCTTTCAGAAACAAAAGCCATTTAGAGATCATTACTCGCCTGCAGTTTCAGAGTTTTTCCGCCGGTATAATCCCTCATGTACTCATCTAACTCTAGTTCTTGCCATAGCGTGACCGTCAGGGGGCGTCGGGTGCAATCTCTTCGAGAGCTTTCTAGTGTTGTGTTTGTCGCATTGGTCACGTTGGTCGGAGTCTGAAGTGCGGTGGCCAATGACGCGAAGGCCAGGCCAGTCGAAATAAATCGTGCGGCACGGAATCGGGCCGCTGATAGGCACATGCTTCCCGGTGATAGCCAAATGATGAACTTGGGGAGTCCCAGGATGGCCTGATGATGTTGAAGAAGTGACACTCCATGACGGGCGCGGAGGCTGGAGGAAGGCTTTTAACCATTCGGTGTGAAACATTTATCAATGTACAACACCCAGTACTGTTCTCGTCAAGAGCTGCGATGTAGATAAGACTCGAGTATCAACTCGTCCTTGCGATAAGTCCGGCTGTAACAATCCCTCATTCCAGCTGTATGGATGGAGCCTCCCGGAACGGTTGAAACGCGTTCGAGACCGCATCCTGTCAGATTATCGCGCTCGGTAACACTGTCACAGATGATCACCACTTATCTTGAATCTTCACCCTCAGTTGGATGCTTATCAAAATATGAGATTACATCTGGGTTCAAAATGTGTTGTCGTGTATTGAATCCATGGACAGATATATCGATAATCTGTCCATGTAGACCAACCAGCACTTGGAGCCCTAATTGTAGAGTAGACCAGACGGAGTAGACCAGACGAGAGGAGCGAATGCAATGACGCTTACTACGAGTTCATGACAGACCACACTTGATATATATCTACACAGACACTCTGCAATGATAGTTTTTTTTTCTTCCGTTGAGAATAGCCTAAATTTTTTGCAACACCTCAGGAAGACACCATGAAAAGATCCCAAAGGGCAGGTGGGAAAATTATCACTTTCAAAGTGCCAACTTCCCTTGGAAGGAGAGTGCTTAGGTTGAGCAGTATAGGATTAAAGCAGTTGCATCCCTCAGCCATTATTTAAATGAAGAACACCATGTTAGGACCTGTGACACAGCCCGAATTTTTGGGCCATTTTCCAATTTTCAACTTGAAATTGAACTGGCCCACAATGGTCTACAATGGACAATATTCCGCTAGAAACAAACAGCAATTTATTTGTTTGTCAGAAATAAAATTTCATTGATTTTGGGTAGCTTCTCTTACAAGCAAATAACAAGATGGATGAGCCTGGGTTGGTGTGAAACCCCTGCTTCTGCTGGGTTTCACAAGGCCTGGCACAAATGATTATCTAATCCAGCCAAGCTGTATTTAGCCTTGGTCCTCCTGTTCTACCTAGACAGCAAAGCTCTCCTCTTGACTGTCTAGGTAAGTAAAATCCCATTCCTGTTTTCTCTCTCTTCCTTTTTCTCTTTTGGTTTCATTCTGATAGCTGTACTTACAAGAGCTCTCCTCTCGGACTCAACTGTCCAGAAAAAACTTGGTGTGCCTGCTGTCTTAAGATCAAGAACCAGTGAAGGACAATTGTGTCCTTACAGGTGGCAGTAACTAATGGAGAGCTGCCCAATGTAAATGGTACAACATTCTGAGCTTCTGGATTTTTGGAACCAAACCACATTTGATTTTTGGTTTGTGAAAAAACAAAAAGTTCAAAATTCATTATGAAAATTTGACCAGGTGCTATGGCGCAGGCCCTTGATCTTGTGTATTAGTTTAAATTTTCCCTAGCCCAAGTTAATACCTGGAGGGGGCACAATTTATTTCTAGATGTGACCAAAAATTTCAGGTTGTCCTAAAGGAATATCTACACTTAAAGCAGTCATAAATCTGGTTTAGAGATGACACCAAAAATGCAGTGGTCAGTCACCACATGCAAATGATAAGATTGAAGGCTGCCGTGTTGATTGACCCTGATCCAGAAAAAAAAACAATAATCCTGTGGCTTACCTCAATGGTGGGCCAGCTATGCTAAGAGTGTCTGCATCAGTTGTTAACTTAGCGCGGATTAAGGCACTTAGTCCAACCTCGCAACTGCACCGGTCCAGATTACAACAGGATCAACTTGACTCAGATCTCTATTTGGAGCTACTCGGGTCTGAATCTAGACCTCACCAATCCTGGGAACAAGTGCTCCATGCATATTTAAAGTGCATGAAAGCTTTCCTGTAGCTGCAAACTAGCTCCAATTGAGTTGGACAAACCAACTTTAAATCCATAATACATAGTATTAGATCTAAGTGATCTCCACCACCACCATTGCAGTTGAATCCTAAAGAATAGCTTAGTCATCAACTAATCCAAGCTTGCTAGCCTGGTACAAGTTGTTCACTGATGCGGATTCTCTAATTGTTAATGAATAGACTAAAAGATTGTATTTCATTAATACCAGTTTAAGGAAACACAGTAAAAAGAAAGAATGAAATGAAAAAATATAATCACCTAAAAGCAGTAGATGACTAATGATAAGAACAACAAGCGCTTATAAAGCAATGAGAATAACAAAAAGAAAGAGTTCTAACAAAAAGGATAGTGATCAATACATGAACAAGGAATAAAGGATGAACCCCAATTGAGACCTACATGGAACAAGTTCAGGAAGGCGAGGATTGGCAAGTGTTAAGTAGAAGGGATGAGGACTTTGGATGATCAGATGGATCAGATAGAGAAGTGAATGAACAATGTTCAACAGGCATGGATGTATGTGAAATAGGAGTGATGAAAGGTGTTCGATGTATGCCAATTTATGTGTGGCGATGTGGAACTACTCTTGGGATGAATAGAGCTTGAGAGGGATGGATGCTTTAATGGGCTGCCTCTCTGATAACAAGAAAATATAAGAGTATGGACTCTTAAGGAAAGGTGTGGCTTTGGAGATTTCTTGAGAATGGTATGTCTAATATATCTTATGTTTACTAGTCTAAATATACTTGTTCACAAATCAAGGTATCCCAAATGTTGATGGGCAAATACCTGGCTAATAATGGGTGATCAGTTATCTGAATTGCTGGGGCAGGATCTGATGAGGAACAAATGAAGAGGGAAAAACAAGGCTCCTTATATACAAAATCTGGGGAGTGGCCAGCTTGTGGTTGGAAACACCATGGAACAAAATGGAACAAGAGAAAATTATCAAACTGACACAATGTGGCCCAATTGGTAGGCACTAAGATAAATGGGGAAAATGACATCAGAGACATGCAGGGATGAAATGTGCCACAACCAATGAGGGAGGAAGAATATACCAAAGAGATGAATGAACTAGCCAAATGTGTACTAGTGTGAGACATCAGAATAACCAATGTAGAATAGTGTGAAACAGTGAAATGTGGCCCAAAGTGGAAATGAGACTAGAGTGAAAGTGGATTAGAGTGAAACACATGCAGAGGCCAAATGTGGAAGGCTGAATGGGGATTGATGATGTAATACTGCATGAGATGATTATGTAATAAAGAAATGAAATGGGAATCCAGAGTGTCTTCTGTCCTGGGGGCTTGGTCTTGTGACATCCATGGTGTTGCAGGTTGGTTCAATATTCCAGAGGGGGCTTGTCTTGGTCCTTCATGAGGGTATTGTTGTCCAGAGGGCTTGATATTGTGCTTGAGTCTTTGATTTTGTGGGCCTCTTATTCAAGATTGGCTTACCACATCCACCCCCAAATTAGATGATGACCCCATCATCCAAACAAAGAAGAGGGCAATCTTGAATAAGGGGAAAAAAGGTTGGGTCAGGGTAAATGGGCACAAAAAGTGGAACACAAAATATGGGACACAAATTAATTTACTTAATTTCACATAAGAAACACAAACAAGTGGAAAATTTACAAATGGTGAGAGAGGGGATATTTCAGGCACAAAAGGAGTGAGGAGGTAGAAGAAGAAGAAAAGAAAGAAGGAATAGAAGACAGGTTGCTTGTTTTTGAGGAGAGGGGTTGGTTGGTTTTATCAATTTATACTAAGATTTTTTTTTGTTTATTTACCACCCCCAAATTTGATATGAAGAGGGGTCCAGGATTTGTATTGCTTGAGGTTTGAGGAAAGAGGGTTTTGAAAATTTCTGAAGGGTGAAAATGTTGTGCCTGTGGGTTTCAGAAAAAAATTGAAGGTCTGATACCTTCTCCCTCTTTTTTTTTTTTTTTTTTTTTTTTTCAAGCATCTCATTCTGTTTTTCTGTTGAAACATGTAGCTGGTCCATAGTTGTTTGACTGACTACATATTGGGATTCCCCAAGCCCAAACCACTGTTCTGGCCAACCAATGTTTCAGGGAGAAAATCCTCTGAGGTCGCCAGGTCTGTGTTTTGCCCGAATGGATAGAAAAAAAAGAAACCAAGAAGAGAAAGTAATGTCGGAATGGTCGGAAAGGGTTGGAGAAGGACCTGAAGAAGAAGAGCAGGCATCAGGTAGTCACATCTAGAAAAAAAGAAACACCGGCCGAGTCGTGGGTGGCTGATGGTTCCTATAAATTGAGGTCTTTAAGGCTGCGGGTCTGAGTCATAATCGCTAATCCTCCATTCTCCACCTGTATTGACAGGTCCGATTGCTTGCTTGTCATCTTGCTCTCCTCTTTCAACTGTTAGTTCTATCCTTGGCAAGTGACTGGGTGGTTCTTTGATTGACTTCAGAATGACATTACCAACCAAGCAATTGAACCCCAGCAAAGCCAAACTGATCGCATCAGTGTCTACATCCCTACACCTTCCATCCATGTCTTGCAACGAGTGATCTAAAACCACCAGGTTAGGTCCATTCACATCAGAGGATCCAAAGCTGATGCTCTTCTTTGTTTCTTTCTTAACCTGTCCTTGGTGCCAGTCTGATCTCGAAACTGATTGTTTGTTGTTAGTTCTTCTCTTTGCACTCTGTAAGCGAAATGAATAGCCAATTTTGATTGAAGGATGACCGGTCTCTTGGGTACCGAGTTGAACTGTAGGCAATTCTGACAAGTCGTTTGTAGTTCTTCTCTTGCATCTCTTTTTGCAAAACAAAACCTTCCTAGTTGTTGCCTTTGTTGCCTCCTCTTTCCAGCGATTCATTGCCCCAGTAGCTCTTGGTCTTCCCATGCACGAAGCTTGACAAATCACATCAAAAGTAACGGAACCTGATGAAAACAAGCTGTCTTCTAATCTATGTCGCCACTGCCATAGCCATAATCATTGTACAAGCGAACTTTAACTACAATTTCAGGTGTCGAGCTTTTCCTCGGAACGGTAGATTGCTTCCAGTGATCGGTCAGCCTCTGCTTCCATCTCTTAATTGGAGCCTTCTGAATCATACTGCCCATCCTCAGCAAAGCCAAACTGGTCACTCGAACATTG